CTCCCGCCTCCCGCCTCCGGCCTCCCCCCGCCCCGCCGTACCCTTGGCCTCGCAGTCCGCGCAGTACTTGTTGTCCTCCTCCCGCAGCAGCTTGGCCAGGATGGCCTGGTGCTGCTCGTTCTGCTTCTGCGCCTTCTCCCGGCAGGAGCGGGTGGCCATGGCGGCGGGGCTGGAGCGGGGCCGGGGCGGTCTCGGCACCGCTGGGGACGCGTCGCTCCTGCCCTGGCGCAGCCACGGGAACCGGCGGCCGCCAGCGCCGACTTCCTCAACCGGAACTACTTACGGCCGCAGACGCATCCGCCTCCCCCGCTCGCTGACTGACTGACTGACTGACTGACTCGCTCGTGCCCCCTCTCGCCGAAAGATTGAGGGGGGGGTGAAAAAAATAGTCCGCCAGGTCCTAACGCCGCCGCCGCCGCCACGCCGCCCTTCCTCGCGGGGCTTTCCCAAGGGGAATAGCGGAGGCGAGGAGGCGCCGCTCCGCCCTGGCTCGGCTTTGGTAAGCGGCACGGAGGGGATTAACCCCGGAACGAAGGGTCGCCTGTGCGAGAGAAACTGATATCCGTCCGCCGGCGGGTGACCCCGCCCTCCAGGTAGCACCTGTGCGGGGTGGGGCGGGGCGGCCCCGCCCCGCGGGAGGCCTGAGGGACGGCGCCTCGCGCCTCACTGACGGCTGGCGGCCGGGGCTGGGCTGTGAGGCGGCCGGGAGCCCCGGGACGTTCCTCCCCCGGTTCTCGACCCGGCTGGGGTGCTGGGGCCTTTCTCGTAGTCCCGGGCTTCGCCGTGAGGGCGGGCGCCGCTGCCCTCGGGCCCTGCCGGCCTCAAACCCGCCCGTCTTCGCCTCACCCCCGCTGGGGAACGCCAGGCGGGAAGACCTGCCTGGGTCGGGCTCCTCGGTGTGGTCAGCCTAGGCTCCGTCTGTGGGAAGGTGGATCTGTGCCTCCGGCTGTTTAAAGCAGTTGTTTCACCCTTGGACTACGAGGGAGCGGTTAGCCCGTCCCTCTCCGGGTGGGAACCCGCAGGTGGAAAATACCCCAAAACGCGCAGCCAAGGGATCGGCCGGTGTCGGTGGTATGAGGTAGTCCTGTGTCCTTGGGCAGGCGTCTCCTTCCCCACACCAGTGCTGGGGAGGGGAAAAAAAAAAGCTGTTACAGCCTCTTGATTGAATGGGCACTGCCATAGCATGAATTTGCCCTCTGAACTTTCTGCGAGAGTACGCGTTTCCGTCTGTAAAAAACCGTTATGGGCAGCAGAGACCTTGCAATAAGGAGACCGGGGCTTTTTCACCCCCGCTGAGGTGGTGTGGGGCTCTGAGGAAGGTGGAGTGGGATCCCGGGGCTGCTCTGTGAGTTGAACCCAAAGCACCTGCCGAAGGCGTAGCCCAGGCTGATTTTCTGCGGCCGAGGCTGCGCACCGCTACGCTTTCCCCCTCTTAAGTACCGTGCCTCTAGTCTCCCCTTTCTCCATTTCATATTGGGTCCTTTTGCCTCTGCCGAGTACTCTTTTCAGTCTGTTCACTGGTAACATCTTTTTTGTCAGCTCAATTCTAGTTTGCTTTGGTTTTTTTTCCCTCTAATCCAACCCTTCTGGAAAGAGCTGAAGCCTATATATAGCCTATAAAATACTTAAGTGAGGCAGATGGAAATTCAGGTCTTTTCACTCTCAGCCATTAAATTACTGAATCATTCTCTATATCTTTCTTTTTCTCAGATCCAATGGTGAACTAATCATTTTGGAAGAGTTATAATGGCAAGAACTGAGAATACTGCACATCAAGTTAATTAGTAGTTAATCTAGCATCTAACATGGGAGAATGTGTTTAGATCTCCCTCAAATAAAGCAGGGAGTTAAGGTCTGCCCATAGGCTGAGAGTGTCCTGGCCAGTGAGTTATTGGGTATGAGGTTGCAAAATGAGGATGTGGTATTGATGCATAATTCTAAGAGATGGTTTAGCATCCTACTTGGAGGTGGGCATTAAGGGTTAAAAATAAAAATACAGAGTGGCATAACAAAGTTGAGCTGCAGCTGCCTGACCGCCGTGCCTAATTCCAAAGACTTACTGCACCAGAAGGAGTGTAAAACAAATGTTAATGTAGACTGATATTAGCCATACTTGGCTAGGGACTCAATTATTGGGGCACAGAAGTCCTGGCTGCTTAAACATGACATTAAACAGGACTGACTTCTTCTAGCTGAATACTTTACCTACAAGCATACAATTGTTTTCCTTTTCTAGCCCAAAGTGGTTTTAATTATTGGATTTTTTTGTAGAGAAAACTAGCTTCAGCTAGAAGAGCAGCAAATACCTCTACTCCTTGCCGTCATCCCAGGGCTCTAAGGAACACAGTGTTTTTCAGAAAGGCAAGAGCTGTGGGTAGGAATTCCCTGAGAGAGAAAAGTAGGTGAACTTGCCCCTCATACACTAGGTAAGCAGCAGCACTGCCATTTTAGAAAAAAAAAAAATAGTAGTTGCTTTTGCATGTTGTGACAGACTTGATGTGTAAATACATGTAGTCTGAAACTCTCTACCATATTGCCAGAAGGTATCAAATAGCTTTGAGCAATTGGTTTAATTTAATGTGCATCAGTTTCTCTGATTCTAAAATTAATACAGTGATACTTGCCATGAAAAGTGGCTATTGATGCAGCTCCTGTGCTTGAAAAAACCTACACAAGTGCAGAGTAAGTGTATTGTTTGGTGTGTGCTTTGGCCCTTAGTGCCTTAAAACTAGATGTCCTGATTGCGTATTTCCTGGGTCTAACTCCCGCTTTGTGCGCATGCTTGGGTGGATTGATATGGGATATCCTGTTCTAACTGTCGAGCATGATGTGCTGCTTCTGTTCAGCTCTGAAAATTATCCTTTCCTTCGAAGTACTTATCCGTGCTTCTGTAAAGTAGTAGAAATACGAAATCACCTGCTTCACTATAGGGCTGCGATGAATAGCTTATTAATATTTTAATAGATAGTGCTTTGAAAACAGCATGCTATAAATGCACTATTAGGTATTTCCCTAAGAACTCAAATGAATCTAAGGAAGACAAAAATGTATCCTTTCTGTGCCTTTGCTGCTTTTTCTAGATCCTAAAGAGAAATAGTGTTGTAGTTGAGAAGTTATTGCCTGAAGCATTTTTCAGAGGGAGAAAAAAAGAGAAGATGTCTTTCAGGATACAGTATGATTTATAGAATGGGTTAAGGTCTGCCCACACCATGCCGTGAAATACAGTGCAGAGAGGCCAGAGATGTCACCACCTAAGGCTCCTTCAGAAGGAGAAGATACACAGTTGTCGTGCTGAGCCTGTCAGCTTGGTGCCCTTTGCTTCACCTTTCATTAAGCCCTGCAGAGACAGCCTATACAATCCAGCTTTGGAATTGTTTAAGTACATACTCTTGTGTTTCAAGACCTGTATCTTCAGAGTCGAGTGAGATTCATGTGGCTAACTGAATTTTCCGTAAAGTAACTTAAATACGGGAGTTCTGCAGTTTCCAATACTAGAGGTTGTGTTGTGTTCGGTAAAAGCACAGATTTACCCAGCGTGAAAAAGACTTCTTCCTAGCTGCCACTACTTGTCATCCTGTAGGCTATTCCACTGTTTTGCAGGGATACCTATAGATAATTTGTGAAGTTCATGTTGTCTTACAATCTGATAGCTGAAATTCACTGCAACTAGACACCTACCTTATTCAGAAATCATCCCATAAACCAGCTTTAAATAGTATTTGCTAATCAGGACATTATTAGCATAAATTTGACTTAATGGGGGAGAATGTATCAGGTGCAAAGTTATTAACTGGATTGAAACCAGGTGTTAAAATAGCTGTGTTTTTCTAATGCCTCATCCTCAAATATCAAAGTCCAGAAATAAACAGGGTTCCAGTTAGAGTTGTTGTGTTTGAGAATTTCTGATTCATAAGAAACCTTGGTGCTTCAGATGTTTTCATGCTCTTAAGAAAACAAACAAACAAACAAATATATATATATATGTATATATAAAAAAAAACTTCCTGGGAAATGGACATTTCGATAATGTTCCTGAAACTCAACTCTTCGAGTTGGCTCTCCAGGCCGTGGAGTCTGGGCAGCCCGTGGGGTCAGATAACACGGTACCTGCAGTCCTTGGCTGGCAGAGAACGGCAGAACCTGAAAAGTTAGCCTTAACCACTGTATTTCAGCTAACACTTTAGATGGAATTTCTGTCACAGACTTAAGAAAATCTTGAGCTATGAGCCAGTCACCCTGTCTACCCTTGATAGCCAGTGGAGGGAAACAGACATTCCTGGAGGTGGTTTGTCTTGTTCTCAGACAGGTGTCTGACTGACTGGGGTGAGCTGAATTACCATCTGGAAGGGCTGGTGTTAGAAGGAGGTGAATCACTTTCCGGATCATTTGTGTCTCCTCATTGACTCTAAAGGGTAGAGAGGGTGACCGCCTCTTACCTGAGCGTACAAAAGTTAGACATTTAAGAAATGAATTCTCAGTGTTGTCTTTAATTAATGAGAATTTTTCAGCAGTGTACTTTGTGTAGGAAAATTCCTGCCCAGCTCTAGTTCTGATATCTTCCATCAAAAAAAAAAGAGAGGAAGCTATAGTAACTTGACATTACATGAAAAAGCATCTGTATCAGGGAATCTAAAACTATACCAAAGGTTTCCTCATATTTTTATTCTTTGCTTAAAAAGAAGAATCCAGCCTCACAAACAAATTCAAGAGTGTTAAAAACCACAATGTTTTTACAAAAAAAACCCAACAAGCCCCAGCCTTTGAAAATCAGAAAATTTAGTTTTCAAAGCTCAATTTTAACTCTGCTTTGATAAACCTTTTTAATGTTAATATACAAACCATGTGTATATTTGAACATAATACTTACATTAATTTATGCTTTACAAAACTTAAACTATACAGGACAGAATGTATTGATACCATAAAAAGAATCCTTATGCGATGCAAAAGTTGTTACGGACAAGACTGTCTAAACCATAGTTGACAATACTACGATACATAGGAGTAACAAGATTTTACCTCATCATCCCCAAAATGGGTATTAAATCTTTGACAGCCTTGTAGGGTCACTGCAATTGGAAGTCTGATCGATAACCGTCGTGGGCTTGCTCCAGGAGTGGCATGAGTCATGTATTCTTACAGTTTGAGCACTTAACTGCCTGGCCAGTGAAGCAAACAGTTACAGTGTCAGTGCTGAGATGGTTAAAAAGTATAAA